CCAACGACACGGGGATATGCACTTAGCGCCGCCCAATGAGCTCAAATAAAAATCCTCCCCGTGGCCCTTCGCATGGTGGGCCTGGATATCCTAGGACCATTTGTCGTAGGTCAAACCAGAACAAATACCTGATAGTAGGCGTAGACTACTTTACAAAATGGATAGAAGCAGAGGCTCTGGCCAAAATAACGACCTACAATATACTCCGCTTCTACAAATGATACATTCTTGCTCGCTTCGGCATCCCACAGGAAATTGTCACAGACAATGGGACACAGTTCATAGATAAAAAGTTCAAAGAGTTCGTCGCCCATCTGGGCACCAAACAACACTTCACGTCTGTCGAGCACCCGCAGACGAACGGGCAAGCCGAGGCAGCCAACAGGGTGATCCTGCAAGGTCTCAAATGGAGGCTAGACGAGACCAAGAAACAATGGGTCTAAGAGCTTCACATCGTGCTCTGGGCCTACCGGACTTTGCCCCACTCTTCAATCGGGGAGACCCCTTTCCGTATAGCATATAGGACTAAAGAGGTAATCCCTATCAAAATACATGTACCCTCTAGGTGGACTGAAGCTCCCCTGGACAAGGAGAACAATAGTGAGGCACTAAGGGAGGAGTTAATCTCGTCGAAGAGGTCTGATCAGGAGCCGCCCTCTAGAGGCCTCACTAAAATAAAATAAAAATCGCAATTAGGCACAACGCCAATTTCATACGGCGAGACTTCCAAGTGAGCGGTCTCGTCCTAAAGAGAAATCACAAAGATTCTCGTGAAGGCAAACTCGCTGCAAACTGGGAAGGACCCTATTGCATTCGAGAAAAAATAGAAAATAGGGCCTACCACCTAGAATATCTTAACGGGGATGAACTCGCTCGACCATGGAACACCAAAAAGCTAAAACAAAATTATAGCTAATGACATAAGCGTCGGCATGCTACGTCGACATGACAAGCATAATGAACCGACCAGAAGTGCACGCCCAGGTACAAGCGTTGCATACTGAAAATGACTCAAGGGAAGCTTTTTTCTCTAAAATGGACAAACCTCTTGCCCGACAGCGACCCCTCGAACGAGCCCGCCGCTGCCAACGTACCATGAAAGGTAGAACACCCAGTTCACAATGGGAAGTTCATGTCGTGAACTCAGGTCACAAACGCGACCTGACCTCTGCTTTCATGCTCGGAAAAAATTTCGGCCTTTCAACCAGTTCCCCCCACAGTCGAACATCATTTTGTCGAGCAAACCTTGAGAATTAACAAATTTTTTCACTTGAATATCCCATACAACGGGCACAAGTAACGAGCATCGTGCGACACTTAGCAAGTTTAAAGCAAAGTAATAACATGCACAAATCATACGCAACTAGAAATATATATTAACATAGGACGACCACGAGGGTCACAATTGTACTTGTTACAATAAAAAGGGGACCCCGCCCCATACAAAAAATAAATTACAAGATTACGACACACAGGTCGGAAGTACTATGAAAAGAAGACTAGTCTGCCACAGGATGAGCCTCGTCGCAGGCAGGTTGCCCCTGCTCCTTGGAAAATTTGAGGAAGTTCAGGATTATGATATGGCCGCTTACCACACTGTAGAGAAACCCGGTCCCCTCGGTAGACAACTCGACCTCGGGGTTCGCTATCTTCAGCTGCTCTACAACGTTGTTGAAAGCTTCCTCGGCGATCCCCACACAGTCCTCTTCGGCCTGATTAATACGGGCAACAAGCTGGGCTCGAGTCTTCAGACTTTTCATCTCATCACTTTCGTCCTCAGCAGGAGCGGTGGCAACCTGCAGCGGTGCAATAATCTCCTCCGCAAATTTTTTCTCCGCGGCCCGGGTGTCTTTATCCTCGGTAACCTTGACCAACTCATACGTGTATTTCTTCACTGCCTCCTCGACGGATTTCTTCGTCGCCTCCTCCGCGACCTTCATCCTTTCTTCCAGAACCGCGTTCGCAGTCTGGGACTTTTTTAGCTCCGCTTCTTGGAGATCCCTCTCTTCAGTGTAGACCACCGCCATGCCCAAGACCCTCATTAGGGCAGCGACATCTTTGGCCAACATCGTCCTCGTGCTCGGACGATCCAGCTCCTCGAGGTGCAAAGACTCTGCCCGAAAAACTAAGAGGGAGGAGCCTTTGAAGAAACTCCGGTTGAGAAAGCATGGAGGGAAATCGAACTTGCTCTTCTCCCCCTCACGAGTCAGGTCGAGGATCTCGCCCATCCGAGGGCGCTTAACCCGAGAAGCTACCGGCAGCAGGGAAGTCTGGGCAATTGCGACTCTGGAGGCTGAAGTCTCCGACTCCATCGGGGGTGGAACCACTTGCTCACTCAAGCGGCTCTTTCCGACCTTCTTGCACGCTTTCATCTTCCCCTGGACATTCTTCACCATGCGCTCCTGGGACGAAGACATATTGCCTGCAAAATAATGGGCACGCATTAGTAAACAAAGAAAATAACAATATGAGCAAGCTAAAAAGAAATAAATAGCTACCCATAAGTTCTTAAGCCTCCTCACGAGTGCTACACTCGAGGAGCTCCTTCGTGTTAATATATCGGGCTTCCACCTTGGGTACCCCCATCTTCTTCATAAATAATCTTCCCGCCCCTGGTCACACACTGAGCAGGGAGAAAACCGTCCATAAAGGCCACAAGCTTGGCATGGCTGGCCCGGTCATCATGCCCTAGCATGTGAGGAGTGGCGAGATAATCGTAAGTTCCCCGGGTAAAGTGGTCCCCGCTCCAGCAGAAGCGGAACTTCAGCAATCTCTGCCCCTGGATTTTTCCCTCCTCGTCGATAAGGGCTTCCCCGTTCTCATCTGTTGAAACCTCCCAAACGAACGAGGAGTCTCTGGCTCTCTCCGACACGGGCTTGATGATGTAGAACCTCTCAAAGAAGGGTTTGAATAATTTCATCCCTTGCTTTAGAGAGACCCATCTGAATTGCCGACCAGCAACCTGGCGCTGAAGATGGAAGACAATAAAGAAAAGAGGAAGAGTGGCTCCTATCTCCAAAAATTTTCATGTCAGTTTGAATGCCCGTATGAAAGCAATGAATTTTGGATGTAGTTGTCAGGGCGCCAAATCTAGGTGTGTAAATACTGCCACCTGAAAGTCAGCAAAAGGCAACCTCATCGCTATCTCTTTGAAGACATACTCGTATATGGGGAACCTCTCCCCATATGCCGAGCATATTAGATCGTCCTCCCGAGGAAAGTGGACCTTCCAATCTCCCTCAGCCCCTACCATCGTGAAGGCATCTCGAGTATAAGAAGCAAAAAGGAAGGCATGCTCCCGATGCTCAGCTATGACCTACTCGTTTGTGGTACTACTTGGGGAAAAAGTTTCGCTGTTATTCCGGGGAGTGGAGGTCTTGCCATCATTCCGTAGAGCGAGAGTGTCATCTGTGCTGCTATCTTTCAAGGAGCTCTCCTCAGATAGGTCCCTCATAACTTTGTCCTCAACTTCGTGAGACATCTCCTTTACTTGAAAAGCAGGGGACAAAAGTGAAATTCGATGACAAAGTCAAATCCACCCTTCCACTGCTAGTCAAGTGAAAGGGCGCGCGTAGGCCCGAGGACAACGTCCCTGGCCTAAGCCATTACTCAAACAACGCAACAACGGCGCGAGGAAATGCCTCTGACAACCCTTCAAAACCCACGCCTACTCCTCCTCGGACTGCTGGCTGCCATTAAGTTATCACTCATATGCTCAGGAGCAACGACTTGGGGGACTCTTGTTCCGGACTGACCCAATGGCTAGACATGGCTCAATCCACTTCTACTCCTACAACGGCCCAATAGCCTTAGCCATGCCAGCTAAAGGCAAAGTGAAGTTTCCTCTCCGCTACCCCTCTATTGATGAGAGTTAGCCAGCTGACCCCTAAGATCAGTTGCCCCTCGTCACATTCCTGCCCGTCACACACGGTTTCACCATCTAGAAACAGTCACGACGCCCGTGTCCGCGACCGCACACTTACCCGTGGCAACGACTATTCTTTGGGGAGCGGTTATCTTGTCCCGAAAATAGGGACCATTGGCCAAGCATTGGGGTACAATAAAAACTCTCTCACTTGAGAGGGTCAGGTATTCTAAATCATTCTATATCACCCTAAGACATACACTTTTTGTATTTGTCTTCTCTTCGTCCGATTCTTACTTTAGCATCGGAGTGCCTTGCAGGTACACCCCCTCTTCATCCTTGCAACTCAGTATCACCGACAAAGTCTCTAGCCCACTTCAAATTCTGATCAGCCGCTGAAATCAATATATAACACTTAATTTTAAAATTACATGAAACCATTAGTCTAATATTAATATTAGTTCGGTAATACTTTTAGTGTTAAATTAAAAATTAAGAAAAATAGTGTTAAATTAAATGGTAAAATATATTCGACTTACTCGATAAATCTGTTTTATCCCGTAGAATGAGGCAAGAGTTTAAACTCACACTTTTTAATATATTTGCTCTGTTTCTTTTTTTTTTTTAATAGAAATGGTAAAATATATTTTACCATTTCTATTAAATTAAAAAAAATACAACCATTTGTTAGCTTTATTTGGTTGTGTAAATACTGCATTTTCCATTTTAAACAAATTGTTATTATGATGTACTCTATTATCTATTTATAAGATGTGTTTTAATGTTCGTCTAAGCTTTTTATTGTTGTATTTCACAATGTGACGAATAAATATTTGAATTTTAGTATCTCAAATAAAACAAAAAAGAGAAAGAAAAAAAATAACCTAAGCTATTTAGAGCATATATATTATTATAAACATAAACATTTAGTTTATTACAAGAAGAAAAAAAAAAGCTGTGCCAAAGTTGTAGTCAACATTTAAAAAGGAAAAAAATTGGATCCAGGAAAATTCCAACTGATTCAGGCATTTTCTGGTACAACAAATTCCACCTTTACTTCAACTTTAACAACCATAAAACAGAGAACCATCCATAATCAAAACTCCCCTTTACCGTTTACAATTTGTAAGAAAAAATGCCTCGTGGAACGCTTGAAGTTGTTTTGATCAGTGCCAAAGGCCTTGAAGACAATGATTTTCTATGTAAGTTATAGCAGATTTCAAATTTTGATTTTGCATATGTCAATGATTTCACCTTTTTCATTGAAATTTCTGCATAAAAACAATGGATCTGTATTCTGAAATTGCAGCAAGCATAGATCCTTATGTGATCCTTACTTACAGAGCTCAGGAGCACAAGAGTAATGTGCAAGAAGGTAAAATTCTGGAAAAACTTACTAGTATTGTATAATTTTCTCTTTAGTAGGTTGATTATTGTATTATGAAAATGTTAGGTGCTGGATCTAATCCTCAATGGAATGAGACTTTTCTTTTCACGGTTTCTGATTCTGCTTCTGAACTCAATCTAAGAGTAATGGAAAAGGACAAGTTTAGTAGTGATGATAATCTTGGAGAAGCAATGTGAGTTATAATCTCATCTTTAACTTGCAAATTTTGATTTCTTGGATCTTCTTTTGAGTTTAATACTGATGCATTATTTCTCGGTATAAAATACTGATGCTTTCGCGATTTGCAATTTTGCCTGTGTAGAATTCCTTTGGATGCAGTGTTTGAAGAGGGTAGTGTTTCAGAGAGTGTTTACAAACTTGTGAAGGAAGAAGAATATTGTGGTGAGATTAAAGTGGCTCTCACTTTTACACCTGAGGTAATAATAATGCTATATAATCTTTTTTCTACTATTTTTCTTCATGTTTTGTGCCTATTTTTAAGTCCCTACTCAAATGTACTATCAATTATTGGTTGCAGAGAAATTATGAACAAGGCTACAATGAAGAGGAGGAGAGCTGTGGTGGATGGAAAGAATCAGCTAGAGAATATTGAAGTGAATCAAGGGTTTAAATATTTCCATGATTAAGAGTTACTTCTATAAAAATAAAAAAAAGTATCTGTTGTGTCTTTGGGAATTTTAATCAGTGTGTTTTCTGGTGTGATAATCTGATAGTGTTCTGCTTTGATTTTCTTTCTTTTTTATGTAAACTGCATTGTGCTGAATAAATGATATTTTATGCACAAAGTAGGTTAAAAACTCATATAACAAAGAGGGTTGTTTTGCGTTCACAATTGAAGTTGTGCATTAGTCGTATACTTGAGTTAAACTATCAAGCTCAAAAGTTCCTTTTGGTAAACTCCTAATTTATTAGCACATGTATAATCTTATGGTTTATCAACCATTCTGTCATCACCGACAAACATTATAAACTTAAAATTCTGTTCATAAATTTACGGAATTTAGAGATTATCACATTGAACTTTGAACAATCACGCAAAATAAAATTGATACCATATTTTAATCCAAGCTTTTAACGAATCAAGTTTGTAGTTCATCTCACTTATAAAATATTCTTCATCTTTATTTTCATTCAATATGAAACTCATATTTATACTAACAATTTATATTCAGTGTAAACAAATCCTATAGGTGAATCCTAACTGCCTGGGTATTATAGGACAAACTTGAATAGAGCTCTTATATTTAATTTAGACAAATCATATGTATCAAAGTAAAGTATGACGTTTAAGACTAATAATTAATAGTCCCTCCGTCTTATAATGTGTCTGATTTGAGCTATATGCCGATTTAAAAAAAAATAATTATATGTTTTGGTTTTAATAATAAAATTAGTATTATTTACTAAAATGTCTTTATTAATTTAATTATAGTTAGTGGAATACTTAAATAGAATTAAAGTTAATAAATAAAGATATACTAATGAAAAAAAATAATTAATATTGTATTGATATTATAAAAAGATATTTGTTTTAAGAAAAAAATTCAAATAAAATATTTTTTATGAGATAGAGGGAGTATATATATGGTTATATTTGTATTGTTTAGTGTGGAACTTATGTAAGGATGTTCAAATGATGTAAGATCTGTAAATGAGAAGTTAGACCATTAGTGGCTGTTAAGGAATTCATTAAGATTATTATATCATTTTAGATAGTTTATTTATATATAATCAAGGATCAGAGGTGGGTAAGCAGTGGTCTCGGCTGTGACAGCGAGGTAGAGGTAGAGAGTCTTTTTGTCATTCGGTCGCGAAAGAACCAGTGGCTGTGATAGAGCTCGTTTGAGGTGGAGGATGGCTTGTTCTCACTCCTCGGTCCATTCGAACGTTGCTTTCTTGCGAAAAAGTTTGAAGAGGGGAGAGCATGCAGGGCAGACTTTGCTACGAAGCGAGATAGCGAGGTGAGCATCCTGTTCAGGGACTGAATCGACTTCTTCGAGTTTAGTGTTGGGAATCCAGAGAAGGTCATGCACTTGTCTGGGTTCGCTTCAATTCCTCGTTCAGTTAGATATAAATCGAGGAACTTTCCCACTCGAACGCCGAAGGTACACTTCTCCGGGTTGAATCTCATTTGCATCTCCTCACCTGGTCGAATACTCTCTTGAGGTGGAGCGTGTGGCAGGTTTCCTATTGGGAATTCACAATCATTTCGTCCATGTAGACCTCGAGCGTGTCACCAATCTCACCTCGAATGACTTTATTCATCATCCGCTGGTAAGTAGCGCCGACATTTTTCAAGCCGAAGGGAATTACGTTGTAGTAATAGTTTCCCGACTTGGTCATGAAAGTCGTATATTTCTTGTCCGCTTTCGCCATGGGGATTTGGTTGTACCCCGAGTACGCGTCCATGAACGACAACATATTGAAATTTACAGATTTATCGACTAATCTATCAATGTTAGGCAAAGGATAAGCATCTTTAGGGCAAGTCCTATTAAGATCGGTATAGTCAACACACATTCTCCACTTTCCATTAGACTTTTTTAACAAGTACAACGTTTGAAAGCTAGATTGCGTAATGGGCTTCCAAAATAAAATTTGCCTATAGGAGGTCTTTTACAACTAATTCAGCAACCTCTGCTTTTTCGGGAGACTTCCTACGCTTACATTGTATTACGGTCCTAGTGGAGGGATCTATGGTCAGTTGGTGGCATAAGACGCCAGGGTCCAGTTCGGGCATCTCCACGGCGCTCCATGCGAACAAGTTAGCGTTTTCTCTCAAGCAGACACTCAGTTGCTTTCTCGCGAGGTCGGGGAGATCAATACCAATCTTCACGCCTTTGTTTGGGTCATTGCTGAGGAGGATGACTTCGAACTCGTCGTCAGGGATAGGGCATCTCAGATGGGCAGGCTCCTCGTTGACATCTGGCATCGGGGAGGTTTCTGCAGCTGGTCTGCCTCCTTTGTCTTTCTTTTTCTGTTCTTTCATGTCATCCTTGGTGAATCGGCTGTCAAGGTCGACCGAGTCGACGTGCGGCGTTGGCTTCGGCTCCTCGGAGGTGCTGGGTCGAGCTAGTTTGTCGGGAGTTCTGGATGGCGCATTGATAGTGTTTTGTCCCTTTGAGGGTACTTCAAAGCATCTCCTCGCAGCTTTAATGTCCCCTTGGAGGGTGGCTACGGGGCCTTTTGGAACACCTTTTTCTACCCTGCAAATATAATGGCAAATTAACCATATTTATCAAAGTAAAATATTGAACGCAATAAAATCATCTCAAAAGGACGCACATTTCTTAGTAATTCAAATATAGTCAATGCTCCGTAAACAACGGGTTTTCCCAAAATTACTCAAAATATTACTCAAAAGACAGTGGAACTCAAAAATGTAATAATGCAAAGTTTTCCTTGCACCGCAAGGCAATCAACATAACAAAACTCAATAAGATATAGTTTGACTCAAAGACCCCAACCCGATGTTACACTATCAGAGAAAGACCCTCTAAGTCAACCACAATGGCCAACAACCCAAAAACTTCAAAAGTCCTCGACGACATCCACGGCTAAACCTGGTCATCTACACGTTACCCACGTGGAGGTAACATTCAAATAGGTAGGGTGAGTAAAATGATTCATAATAATCAATATAGGAATCAATATATAAAATAGCGTCATTTTCATATTCAACGTCATCGAAATCATCAAGGAACATCAAAGGCCACAACATTATAAATTACATCAAAATGTAATATAAATGCAAATGCAACAAGAGTCGTGCATGTGGTACCAGTCAACAAAATTCGATGGACAATGAGCCATCAACCCTCCATAGATCCACAACAGTAGGACCGATTCTACACGAGAACCAAAGCACAACAAAATACCTCACATCCGCACAATGGGACTGAAGTCACAAAAATCAAGGTCCTGAACCGAAGTTCGGATGCATATGAATGCATGATGCACACGTCAATATCATCCTCATAATAAACTCATTAGGTGCATCAAAATCATCATAATAATCATGTCATCATATAATCATCAAAACTCATAGGAATCATCATATAATCATGTAATAATCACATGGGAATCATAGTCATACTCATGGTAATTCATCAAAGAAATCACAGCCTCAAAACATCAAGACGTCATTACACAAGATCATAATTCGTGAAACTCTGCTATATTCGCTAGCAAGTTTGCTGTGCGAATTTGGGGCGAATGTTCGTCGTGCGAAGCATTCTTCTCTGTGTGAACTCGCGATTACAGCAAATCGCTGTTATGCACCAGCACCAATACCAGATCAAAAACCTCTACGATTTCCTTCCCCAATGCCCTAAAAACATCCCTAAATCATTCCTAAGGTATTATAACGATAAAGGCACAAGATCTACGACTTATTAGGCCAATCCTGTATCATCTTTACGCCTCCAATTCCCACAATTTCCTTACAACTACCCCACAGTCATTAGAGTTCTCACAATCCAATTACCATACAGGGTTGAAACCTCAATAACAGAATTTGGCCACGAAGGCCTAATTTCCTTTATCTCAAATCAGCCTCAAACCTATCAGGCCATCAGTTTAAATCTCCTCAAACTCATTGAACTCACCATCAGAAAGACAACAACAATTCAATACTCAAAAATCCCTAATCCCTTAAATCAGCTTTAAACACATTGAATCACATATTGAAAACAATGAAGGAAATACTCCTCATAACTTAATTACCGACTTTAAGCCTTTCTCTTTGATTCTCGGAAACCTTGCGAAGCTTTTGCCTCAATCCTCTTCCTCAGAGCTCTGGCCTCTATTTCTTCCTTTTTCGCGGTCTAACAAGAATGAATCCTAATTCCCTCAAAATTCCTTTTTGTTAAACCTAACTTTGGGCCTTAAAATTGGGCTTTCCAACTTCACCCTCACTAACTCCTCCTCAAACGTCCATTTTTCCCTTAATTCACTTATATTTATTTAAATTTATAATAATACCAATATATTCATATTATATACTATTATTTAAATAACCAAAAATCACCAAAAATGTGAATATTCATATTTAAATAAATTAAATAAATATTCTAATAATTTGGGGTGTTACACCTTTGGTCGTGTACTACTTCAGCTTTAGATGGATAGTGGGTGGCACAGCGATCAGTTCGGCCAGAGCTGGTCTCCCACTGGTAAATAAAGAAAGGCAGTTTATGACTTGGAACTGGACTTTAATCGACTTGGAGGTTTCAACTTCTCTAAATGTGACAATCAGTTCGACGTATCCCCACGGCTTCGCGGTTGCGCTGTTGAAATCCTGCAGATCAGAGTCTACGTAGGGTGTTAAGTGTGTTTCATCAAGCTGCAAAGTTGAAAACATCTGTGAATACATGATGTCAACCAAGCTTCCTTAGTCAACCTGAATGCGATAAATGTCAAAGTTTTCCATTTGTGCCCTTACGAGCAGAAGGATGCTGAAGTTGAGGGCTACTCCGGGGAGCTCCTCGTGGTAGAAGGCGGTGGGATTCGAGCTTCCCCGACATTTGTTGAGGATGGAGTTTTTGCTCGAGCTCGCATCAATGAGTACCTCAAACTTCCTCTTCACTGAAC